CACCAAGCCCACACTGGGGGACGGCGAGGCCGAGCGAGATCAGCAGTTGGGCAGCAGACCAGACTGGCGAGCTCTCCGTCGAAAGCCACCCGGTAACGTATCCAGCAACCCAGAGACAAGGCGAACTGTGGGGCGACGGAGCTGGTCGACGACCGACAGGCTTGCCTACCTGACGGCGGAGGACGTGCGGGCTCGGTTGACGAGGCCAGGAGTCCAGTCCAGAGTACCGGGTACCCGTCGCAGCAGAGGGCGCGTCCGAGGTGCTTCGAGGGGCCCTAAACGTTTAGGCCGGTCTGCACTGCGCTGCGGGACATTGAAAGGAGGATGGGCGATGTACAACGGACGGGCTGATGTAGCACGGCGTGAGGCAGGATCAGGACGACTGCGCCGGCCAAGTTGCGCTCGGTCCGGTACTTGTAAAGCTTCGCAAGGCTGGCGGCGTGCAGATGAGAAACGGGCGACAAAGTGCGCAGCCAGTGAGGGGACGCGCGCGGTGGTACGGAGCGTCCAAGAACTGGCGAGACTGCCGGTCGCGCGCGAGGAAGGAGAAGAAAAAGACGGTCAAAGGCGAGGAGCTGGTTGTTGCTGGGAGCTGGAGGTGAGGTAAGGTTGGCGTTCTGAGCCACGGAATCCGACCCTCGCTCCCAGCAGGTAGTTTGCCAGGCTAAGACGAACGGGGGCGACGTGCGGGTGGACGCCCACTGGGATGGCTCATCAAAGGTCCAGGATCATGGGCGAGCTTGAGCTCCAGACGGGCAGCACCTTGGGCCAGGGGGGGGGAGGGGGGTGTGGGTGGGACGTGGGCGACCGACTCCAACCCGCGACGCACCTGTGCTGAATGGATCGGCCTCGCAATGATTGGGGTTGGCTCTACCCACGAGTTTTTGGAGACGACGAGCGCGCACTTGGTACCGCAGGTAGGTGACAGAAAGAAGTCGCTGGTGGAGGAGGTGCCGGCTCTCGCGCACGCCCCTCCCTCGTACCGGCAATCCATTCTGGGTGCCGGTCTCTGCTGCAAGAAGCCGTCCGTAATCGCCGTCCTTTGCCCAGCCTGCTGCATCCATGGTTGGTGTGGGTGAAGCCTCGCGGGCTCTCATCCAATGCTTCATCCCCCGCTACCAGCCGCCCCGTCGTGCGCGTGTCGCGGTCCAACGGCACTGGCGGAGGCGCTGCCGCGAGGACGAGGGCTTCCATCGCGACGGAGCAGGCAGCGGGGCCACGAGATACTGTATTACGCGGGGCGGCGTCCCTGGCATTCGTACTCGTACTTTGCGCGTTGGAATCGCTGGAATCGACCTCGACCGCGTGGTCCGTCCCTACCTGGCCGTGGCGAAGTGTCGGCCCTCGCACCCTGCCTGGCGGCCGTTAGTTGATCTGGTGGCTGCTCTGGCGAGGGTGCTGGGGTTGCGGGTGCGGGCACGCAGCAGGCGGCGGCGCGTGCGCACATGACTCTGGAGATCTGGAGCTGGCGATGGGGCAATTGGGGGGCCCTTTGGGGGGGTCTTGGATCCTTGAGGGGGGGCCCTGGCCTGGCGCCGGCCCAGCCCAGCCCAGCCCAGCCCAGAGAAAGAAGCAAGACGAGGCGTGCATGGCGGGTGCGGATGCGTGCACGGATGCGCAAAGGGACGGGGGGCGTGTCCATGGCCAGCCACAATTGGACGACAAGAGTCCGGCAGAGTTGAGGGCAAGGAGGGGTCGCAAGGTGACGGAGCAGCAGCGACCTCACCAGTTGAGCGGTTCCGCCTCCGTCGAGCCCCAGCTTGGCAGCCACCATGATGGCGGCGGCGGCGGCGGTGGTGGTGGGCGCGCGGGAGCTTGTCGGCCGCAGTCCTTTGGGAACCTGGAAGGATGCCCGGCAAGCCTTGCCTCGGGAAGCCTTGGGACACCGACTGGCTGGGCCGCAACTGCCTTCTTGGGGGCTCTGGTCGCAACCTGGAATCGATGGAGCCTCGCTGGAAATTGCCCGCCCATCCCCCGCCATGCGACCTGCGAAGTACCTAAGGTACCCAGGTGCTCTTGCCTCCATTGCCTTGCCTTGCCCTGCCTTGTCTTGCCTTGCCTGGCGGTGCGTCGCGTCTCCATTGTGCTGCGCTGCGATACAGGGAAGGAATCACGCACCCCGGAGGGGCGTGCTTGCCCGAGACAATGGAGTCCGTACGTACTACGGAGTACTTCGTACGTATGCCCACCTCAGAGCACGAGGGAACCTGGAGAGAGCTGGGGGCGTGCCGAAGCTGCTGCCCGCTCGTCAAGTATCCGCTACTGCCTTGGGTACTGTACTACTTTGCTCCATCAAAGACAGCCAAGGCCCGTCGTCGCTCATCCTTTGTCGGCGGCCGCATGCATGAGGTGCTGCTCATCATCATTCATTGTCACCGCTCATCATCGTCATCCTTCGCCAGGGACCCAGCTCCTCTGCCCGTCCAGAGCTCACGCTGCGGAGCACCCAGTCTTGCCAGTACCCATCCATCCATCCATCCAAACCCGCCCGGGCCCAGGCGTGCAGGCATCCCAGGCCACTCGCTCAAGCGTCCCATCGGCCAAGCGCCTTCCCCACTTCCGCCTCAGTAGGTGGGCCGTCGTCGCCCAGGTATACCCCGTCATGCCTTCACCACCAATTCCCACCAGTACCGAGCTGAGCGCAGCCCAGTCCTTCACCGGACCGACCAGGGGCATCCGAGTGGCAGGAGCTGGTCGGCGAAACGAGGACGTTGCAGACACAGACGACTTCCACCCTGTTTCGCTGACGTCGTCGTCGGCGTCGGCGCTGCGACACCGCCCTTGACGCCCCCGCGACCACCAGCTCCTAGAACGACGACCACGACGGGGTACCAACGTTAGGACCGAACTTAAAAGAGCTCCCTGGACGGACCGCGCGGGAACGGTGCGAAGCGTGCCGCGTGCGCCGCCGAGGGCAATTAGCGGTTGGAACTGGCGAGTCGACGGCTGGTGGCGTGGATCCGGCGCCCAGGTGGCGCTCAACGTGGCGGCAGGCCAGCCGCCTCCGGGCCCACGACCTGGCTTGACGGCCATGGCTGTCGCCATGTCTTCGGGCAACACGTCCGTCCGTTATTTGCTCACAGGCGCCTCCCGAACCCCCCGCTTATCGCCCAATGTGCAGACGGTCGTCTTGGCCGACTTCTCGGCATGTCCTGCAAAGGGATTGATTGCTGACTTCTGCGGCTACGGCGGCCGGCGGTGCGGGCGGCTGTTGTGAGACACGGCACCTGTGACGCGACCGCGAACGACGGCCACCCAACTGATGACTTTACACACTCGCGGCGCACACGGTCCCTGTGTCTCCTCCATAACTTGGTCAACTGCGACTCTTACGTGGCGCTTCAGATCGGGACCCTGCCCGTGCCCAAGGCGTTCGAGACTTCGTCGTCCCGGTGTTACACTTTACTCAACAGCAACCCCTGACTGCCACATTGCGCACGAGGCACCGCATGGCTCGTCAAGTGTCGACATTGAACCGGAAGCAGAGAGAGGCGCTGCCGCCGCGACGACCCTGCTGCCGGACCAGCATGAGCGCAGAGTGTGCGCGGACACGTCCAACGTTGGTCCACGAGTCCGTGAGCACTGAGGAGCAGTCACGGTGGAGTTGCGCAGCAGCCGCTCGCCAGCCGCGACGCCTGAGCGGGTGGAGTGTCGGGCCTCAGAGAGCCTGGCCTTGCGCGCTCCCACCGATCATCATGCCGACCAGGATGGAGCGCCGCCGGAATGGTGGGCATGGCATGCTTGGCTTGGTAATAGCTACTGATGCTAATGCACCGACAATGCGGTTGCAAGGAATCCCCAGATGCGCCGACAGCTTGGGACGCGGCTTAGCGCTAGTGCTGCGCCAGACTGGCCATCCGAACTCCGCACGAGACCGCTTGACTGGCGTTCCGTCGTCGCTTGGGCCGACGTCGACGGGGTTTGGCGATGGCGTGAGCAGGCTCGGATTCTCTCTGACGGGTTGGCAAGACACACCCAGCGCCGCCGCACCGTGAAGCAGGCTCGGCCGAGTCTCATGTCACCGCCAGCCCGCCCCCGCAAGCCGCTGGAGGGCGAAATTGGCAAGGCGGTGTCGCAGCCTCGCAACGGTTTCGGGCTGTTGTGACTTGCCCCCGCCGCTCGCTTCCGCTGCTTCTCGTACCGTCTCCAATGCTCCGTGTACCCGTACCCCAACTAGGTACGAAGATAAGCACCATCTCCAGCACTACCCCACGACCCGCTTGCACGCACATACTACTTCGTATTATAGCTTACCATAGCGCATCGTCAAGCAAGGGACTACCAACAGAGCGGACCGGTGTTTCGGGACGGGCTCCTCTGAACAGGCTGACTGTAGTGATAGCTGTTGAACACGCGTCTCTTGGAATCTGCGACCCGGGCTGACATGCTGATGTCGAGGCTCGTGTCGCCGCATCAGTACCAGGTACGTTGGGTCGGACATTGGCAAAGAGCGCAAGGTGTTGCCACCATTGGATGCGCCGCGACATGCCAGACGGTTGGTATCCGTGCACCAAGCAGACCATGCTGGGCAAAAGGAGACGGGCAAGGATTATTCATCCACGTTCTGGCCATGCACTCGACCTGTTGCAGGAGCGCCAAAGATGCGGCACCAGGCCATGAAAGTCATTGATCCAGCCAATCCGACCCAACATGGGGTGCCGGCGCTCTGAACCGTGCCCCTTGACCTGCTCGCTTGGAGTTTCGAACGACAGAGACCTCGTACGAGTACAGTACACAGTACAGTACAGCCCACCTAAAGGAGGGCTCGGCAATCCACAGAATTAGCAAAGGCTTCTTGTGTCTAAGGGACGCGGAATTTGTCATTGGCACTGGCGTGTGAAGGTCTGTGGTGCAGCAGACGTCGACCAACAACAATCACAAATGACAAGGTCGTCTCACACTCCCCCAGGCGGCTCTCCGAATGTTGCCGGAGCCTGTTGGAGCGAGTTCAAACCTTGATCAAGCAGTTTTGGCTCTTCCCTCATTCGTAGCCGCACACCAATGCGGCAGACCTTGGTTTCCTGTCTTGGTTTAAATTGAGGCCGGACAGGGCCTGCGGAGTAAGCGCTCTGGCAGGTCTCACGGCGGACGCTGCTGACAATGAGGTAGGTAGCCCAACGGATGACGGCTCGAGTCGGGCTGCTGCGTCCTGGCGGTTCATGTACGAGTACACGCCCATCAACGCGCTGTCCGTGTCCGATGCGGCTTGGGGGACGAACTACTTGGTACCTGACAGCGTCTCTTCAAGGCGACGACAAGGGTGAACTCCCCGCACATTTTTCAGGCTGCGTCTTGCTACGTATGACGACTTGGGCCGCATGGGCCTCTCGAGGCTCGGTTGACCCTTTCGAGCGCGCCTACATTGTAGTTACCCAGGCGAGCAAATCGGGAGCCGAACTTTGGGTACGAGACGAAACGCGCCCTCGCCCCAGGGGATGTGCTCTTGGGTTACTCATGGACCCAGCAACTCGCCCATTTACCTGTCGGTTGGTCGCTCAACCTTGCAGAGGCGTTGACCGTCAGGATTCCAGACCCACTGGGCCAGGCCACTTGCCGACCCGCGGAACACTGTGGGCGGTGGTTCTCAGCCTCATCGTGGCGGCCCAG